TTCTTCTGAAAATACTGCCAAGACCCCCCCCCCAAACCCATCTGGCAGGCCACTCTTAGGTCCACTCCCTGAGGTCTCCATGACTGGGTGCTGGACTCCCAGGGCCTGGTAGGGGTGTCAAGTGGAGGGTAGCTATGGAAAGGTCCCCCAAGACAGGTCATGGCTGACGTAGCTGGACACAAACCTGCCGTCCTCCAACACAAACAGCTTGGGGTTCTTCAATATTCCACATCAGCTGCCAGCAAGCAGTGACCAAGCCCATTTCCTCATTAGCAGGTCCCGGGGCCCGTGCCCAGCTCAGGCCCACCTGACCCCATCCTTGTGAAGTATCTTAGCTCCTGTCCCCATGAAGGAGTAGGCAGGGCCCCACTCCTGGGGAAGAAACTCCAGAGATCCTAGTCAGAGTCGAGGACTCTGTGAGGGGGACAGGTGTGTCAAGGGCACCTGCTGGTCAGCCTCACTTTAGCCGCAGGCCACCTCCATTTCTTGTTTCTACCTAGAGGAGCCCTACCAAGGCCCAGCTAGTACTTAGCTGTGCTGTAGAGAGCTGGGCAGCCTCCAGGAGCCCACGCCTCTGACATGTTCCCAGGCGAGTAGACACCTTTCCTTAAGAGCAAGAACGTCCCAAAGGGGCAGGAACTTCTGCCATCTTTGCACCTGGGTCTCTTCCAGCACCTCAGCCGGATCCACAGCATTAGGGGAAGCTCCTGTTCCACTTCAGCCCCACTCGACATGAAGCCAGGCCTGGGGCTCCTTCTGTGGGTAGCTCTGTCTCCTGCCGGCCCATCGCCAAACACGTTTCATTCATCTTGTCTGAGGCTCTGCTGGCATTCAGCAGGCAGCTCCGAGCCTTGGGGTTCCTCGAAAGATGAACACCTCTAACACTCTTCCTATACCGAGCCCTGGCAGGTGCCCCCTGCTCTTAGGGCTGGGAAGACGCCCCTATGCATAGGAAACCAGATACTTAGAATCTGTTTTGGTTTCTTGCTCCTGGTACCCTGCTGCAGTGACCATGGTGGGACTGGAACCTGTGCCGGCTTAGAGCTGATGGCTCTCTGAGAACTCGATGTCACAGACAGCTGTCCCAGGCCATGTCCACGCCTCTGGTAAGGGGTCTCTGAAGTGATGGTTGGCCTGGTTCTGCAAATTCTGCATCTGGAGCACTCAGTGCCGCAGGGCACATCTACATGACGGTGTGTGTGCTGGTTGGTGCGTGGATGGGCCGGCCCGGTCCTGCAGGAAGGAACTGCCCCCGCCTCCACTCCTTCTGGACAGTAACATGCCGGTCCTGCTCACCCCTTGGCTGAGTAGAGACGCGGCAATATGACTGAGCCAAGCTGTCTATAGCCCCTCTGTGTCTCCAGTGGCTGGGGCCCAAGCCAAATGAGCAAGAGGCCTTGTGACTGTCTCAGCGTCAAGCCTCCATTGCGCCTTGTGGCCTTCCTGATGACCCTGGTGACTGTTCAGAGTGCCCTGGCTCAGGCAGCTCCAACCTTGTGCCCCAGGAGCACAGACTCGAGGCCTGTGTGCTTCCTCCCTGCTTTTGTCCAAGCCGTGGCTGTGAGGCCCCGGGGCAGGAGATCAGGATATGATATTGGAGGGGTTCACACCTGGACCTGTGTCACCTGCAAGGGACAAGTTATGCAGGGCAGGCTGTGCCTACCCTTTCCCAGTGCCCAAGCCTGAATGGAGCATGCCCCTGGACTGGGCTGGGGCCTCCCAACTCAGTCATCAAGGGGCCCTACAGGTAGGTGGTGTGGGTTTGCCAGGGAGAGGCCGGCACGGATTGGGTGTGGATGCCCAGCTGGCTTTGGTACCAGGCATCTCTCTCAGCACGGAGCCATTGGGGAAGGAGGCCACAGGCCCCTCAGCAAACCCCACGGGCGCCAAGTCAACAGCAGGGTTCCTGGAGGGGAGGGAAGGGCCTGTTTGTCCACTTGGCATTGCCGTCTGGGGAAAGGACACTGAGGCCCTCTCTT